AAAAATATATATATATATATGGAGAGAGAGAGAGCTTTTATTTATCTAGCTCATGATATATGAAATAACATTCATTGAGTACAGAAATATGGATGTATTTGTATTCAGGGTGCTGCCCTAGAAACAAAATGGTGTGATGAAACTGTGTAATATATGGTGTATGCATTATCTAATATTTGTAAAATATGAACAAATTATCAGGTTTGATACAATCTGTTCTTGTGTTTTTATAAAGAATTATGGGGCACGGGATTTAGCTTAGTGGTTCTACCGCCTGCCTTGCAAGTGCAGGGACCTGAATTTGATCCCTGGTACCAAAACAAACAAAAAACGAACTATGGAGCTCTGCATTTGTAGACACACATAGACACAACTGTACATATGTACAGATCCAAAATCATCCAAATTTATTTTATTACATTGTAATCAAAACAAAAATTGGCTTTATATTTATGAAGCACTGGAGAACCTAAAGTTTTAAATGTTAAAGGAAATTTGTAAGAACTGTGTGATTACAAAATTTTATTTTTCCCTTACAGAGCAGTAAACATGACAAAATGTTTCGTCTCAGTTCAATGAAGTTTTATCGTGGTGTAAAAAAGAAAATGAAGCCTCCAACAAGGTAAAGTTAGAGAGGAAAATGCTATTGAGAGGAAACTCAGAAAATGAGTTAGTGAAGGCTTTCAGGATCAGGGACATTAGTTTAACTCTTTTACAAAGTAAGCTTTAAACAAATCTTTAAGTTGCTTCAACTGTGGCAAAAGAAAGCACTTTGAGAGTAGATAAGAAATGCTGTTCCCACTCAGAATAATCATGCTCCTTGGTGATTGTTATCTGCCCTGTATAATGCAAGCAGTCCTGAGAAGGCCCTGGCAGAGGAGGATGGGAGCTCTGGCCAGCCCCTTCTTGACTGATGTGCCCAGGGGGCGTAAAAGTTCTGTGCCAAGTCTGCATACCAGAAATCAGTGCTTCCCTGATCCTTAACTTGTAGAATGTCTGCGGCCTGGCTCTATAATTGGCCCGTTTTGTTACCAAAGTCGGTAATAAACACACAGTAGACAGATAGTAGAAAGTATATGGACCTATCATGCTGATGTGTTGTGTGCCTCTTCCAAAACTTGACACACACCAACATTCAGTTAATACCACAGTTTCTTATCATTTTCCGAGCTATTTAATGCTCACACTAATACAATACTTCTGTTATTATCATGAAACGTCATGAACTCTGTACTTCTCAGATTCTGTTACTGAAAATTTCTTTACTTTTCCTCCATACTTACTTTCTTAGTTAAGCACTTATACCTGTTTTGCAGTTAGCTTATGCTTCATTATGTAAATAATTTCAGTAATTTTTATAGACATTTGTCCTTACTGTATAAGTCAGCTTTGTGTTACCACAATAAAATTCCTAAGGCAGGCTACTTCTGGTCAAAGATGATTAATATACTGTGTAAGGACAAATGCCTATGAAATTGGTTGAAATAATATAAGAGCTCATAGTTTCTGAGGTTTAAGGGCATGGTGTCTGCCTGAGCGCAGTTCTGAGAGGGCCCTCTCGGGTGCAGCACATCATGAGAATGTGCGGGTATATGTGCAGGTGGTAGCAATCCTATCTCCCAGGAAGCCAGAGAGAGCTAGGTGGGGCCAGGCTCAGACTTTCATCACAACCTTCTGAGAACGAGCTAGGGCTTCTGTGTGAAGTACTTTAATTTCTTCCCACAGCACACCCCATTGACTCAAGAAACTCTCATTAGGTCCCACCTCCAAAAGGTCACGTTGCCTCCCAACATCACCACAATGGAGACCAAACTCTCAGCTAATGGACCTTTGGGGTGGGAGGGACAAGCCTCATCCAACCCAGAGCATCTCATCAAGAGTATTATCTCAGACCCCCACCCACCTTTTGCTCATAACATTGTGATACTACTTTCTTCTGTCTCCCTTCACCGTGTATAAATCTGTGGTCCAATCCTTTAGCATTTACTTCTAGATACACTATACCTATTGAATCATCACTTGTAGAAATCTGTTCCATTCTACATTCCCACCAGTAAATTTTACTTCCTCCCCATCTAATCCTCTTTTTCGTCTTGTAAGAATTATCATTTTTAACTTACTGCTTGTGTGTTTCTTCCTATGTGATACAGTTGGGGGTTGACCGCATACTCTGAAAAACATCACTGGTAAGTTCATAGCTGGCAACTTTGGGATTTGAAATACTGGTGAGAACCAGAATGAAAGAATGGTTTCATTACTTAGCAGATAGAAATATAGACAGGAGAAATTATTTTCTAAGTGCTTGCAATCTAAGAATATAGATTTATATCAGAGTCCAAGTTTGTTTCAACTTCACATATCCTCTTTGGCAATGCCTCTTAAGAGAAGTTATACCTTGTTTCTTCCGGGGATAGTATATGATTATAGAATCCAGCTTTTAGGAGATAAGTAGGTATAATTCAGTTTTTTAAAATGAAATGCATAAGTAACTAAAATAGGATTAAAAAGAAAGCACATCCTGATCTTAAACCAGTTCTATCTATATATGTACAATTTTTACACGTCACTCATGTCTCACTAGGCTCCTAGAGATTCCATTGTCTCCATCCTTGCCTGCCTGTATCTGTTAACTTGCTAGATCATATCTGATTGCCTCTTGTTTTACTCCCTTGCCCACCCACACATACTTCTGAATCCTTTACCAGGCCTTCTTTGTCTACCTCAGTTATTCCAGAAGCCTTATGTGCTCTTCATGCTCTGACTTTGTTAATTAGAAACCATAATCTCCGTCCAGAGCCTGAAGAGACTTCTTTCCCACATATCAGCCATTTCAAACTGTAGTACATTTGGTCTTTTTACTCATCTCTCTTCTGTGGTATATAATGTTTCCTTCCTTCCTATGACTTCCGTACTCTCCCTGATGAGCCAACAGATGCATCTGTCTGTCTTCTTCAGAACAATAACTCAGATACCCCCAAAATCTTGTCGCATCAGTCCTACCTCTGATCATTATTGATTTGTCTCTACAGTATTTGATGTACATATATACATAACATGAGATTTTGATTTTGGACAGAGTAATAAAGACTGATTTTGTAAAAATTAAATGAAAAAAACAAAAAAATTTATTTTTACCAAGTAAATTATATTTAATTCAGGAATACGAAGAATATAATTATGTTGAAATGTCCATTATTTTACTCTGATCTCAGTTACAAATTTTGCTTCTGTAGTAAACAACCTTGTCTCATCTCCCTTTCCCTGCATCTGCTGTTTCTGTGTTTGTACTAAAGTCCTCTTTGCTTCTGCTCACTGTGTTACAGTTTATTTGTCTATATGCCCAGCTTCCCTAATAGGCTATGCAAAACTTAAGGGCAGGAATTGTAGTTTATTTAGGAGTTTCAGTAAAGATTACTGAATTAATGTTATTAGATATGTAGCATTTTTCATGTAGTGTGTTTTTCACAAGTCTAGTGTTTTTAATCATAATGGTAGAGATATCTAAGCTTTTGCAGAATCTGCCATTATAGGCAGGTGCACGATTTTCTTTTTCTTTTCTTTCTTTTTCTTTTTTTGAGTGGGGCCTCACTTTCTGGGGGGAAAGATGTTTATTTACTGTGTACTTGAAAAAGCAAAATGACACAAGCTTTCTGCCTTTCCAAAAATATTGTTTATTTTTCAGCATTTCCCAAAGCCTTTTGTTATGTTTTGTTTAAACCAGCATATTTATAGTTACTTTGATATTGTTTACTTAATGTAAAATTAAAGCCACTTGTACCAAAATGTTACAATTTGATTGCATTAAGCTGTAAACTATGAGAAACCCAAAGAGTTTTCTTGTTGCTAAATCACCAATAAATACAGTACAGATTAGCTCTTTGTCTTTTTGAATCATTTTTTTGGTAAACGTTGTTTTGCAGGCACATGTGTTGTGATAGTTCACAAACCCAGATGGAGTGGATGGCCAGTATCTTTATTGCCCAGGTATGATATCTGTCCCAGTTATCCAATGAAATATAAAACTTTGTTTATAGAAAGTCTTGATGTGGTAATGATTCTCAGTGAATTTCTGTTTTAGTTTGGGTTGAAGTCAGGGCTTCCTTCATGCCAAACAAGCTCTGTTCCACAGAGCCCTTCAAAAACTTTCTAGCCCTTCAAAAACTTTCATTCTCACATTACTTTTATTTAATACATAAAAGTCCAGTTTACTCATTAGCCTTCTAAAGAGAATTTATTCTTCCTGTCCAGTCTCCTTGTGTTTTTTCCAGCCCAGTAGCTCCTTGCATAGGAGAGGTGAGTTACTTTAAGATGGTAGCATGGAAAAGAGGGACTTAGCTAAGTTGTCACCCTACCATGATCCCACATAGATCTTCATTTAGTAGAGTGTTCTATTTCTTGTCTTGTTCTTTCACTCTCCCCACCTCTGCCTTTCTAGAAAAAAGGAGGACCGGACTCTACATGTCTTTAATACTTGCCAGGTATTAGACACTTCATAAGAATCAATTCATGTATTCCTTGTAACAAGAGGTGCATAATATCCTTTGGCTTTCAAATCATATGTTCTGTGGTTGCTTAGGACTGTTCAGTTAGTGGTTTAAACCCAGGGTTGTCTAACACCAACACATGCGTTTAACTTCCCGTTTGTTCACCTCTCTAGAGAATGACTCACTCATTCAAGGAAGGGTAAATAGTCCCATTAATAGGGTTGATTTCTTTCCCAACCTTGTCTGGCTGAATTCCCAATAATGCTTCTCACAGAGCATTGAAATTCTTTGCTAACAATTAAGTTGCCACTCTTTATTACTGAGGAGGTACTTTCCTATTTCTCCTATAAGAAAGAAGTTAACTTACCCCAAATTCTTGTCCTTATTTTTTTTTGAAAACGATTTTTCCTGTTCATTTAATTTATTAACCTTACCAGTGTTTAATAAACATAGCTCCTCTCAGTCTGCCACTACTCTTACTACTTGGGAATACATTTGCAGAAAAAGACTAGCTGCTTTTTAGATACTTTTCTGCTTTAAATAATCAGATATTCAAATTCTACTTAAAAACATAATTTAAATTTTTTGAAATATTTTAATAAAATTGGAACTGTATAGTCAAAAGTGATTAAATTATGGTACAACTAAAGTAATATTTTGTTTTTATACTGGAGGTTAGTACACCCTGTAGTTGAAATTCCAAAAATGAATAGACCGGAAGCAAAGACTGTTACAACCAAGTTGTTTCTCCCTGATGCATGTATTCTTCGTGTCCTCATCTTAATGACATGGCTTGATTATCTTTCTTCTGTTTGTTCTACTTCTGGGGATTATTTAACTCTTCCATTAGGATAAATACAGAGGCCCTCCTGGATTTAAAGATTTATAGCTAATCACCATAGGAAAACAGCAGAGTAGTAGCAAATGCTTTTCCACAGTAATCAGTAGTAAATGTACCCAGAAAAATTTTGTAATGCTTATTCCCATCTGCATCCTTACTTCACAAGTCCTCAAGATTTCAGTTTAAATGTCCTATTGCCAGGGAAACCTTCCCTGACCCTCAGAAAATTAGATCCTTAGTAGCACCCTGTATTCCTCCATTTTAACACTGATTAAAAACATATTTATAATTAATTATTTCATGTCTTTCTCTTACTAAAATGTAATCTCCATGAGTAGGAGGACTCTCTTTATTGGAGATAGATAGATAGATAGATAGATAGATAGATAGA